TTGTATCTTATGGGGACTCATGCTGTCTCCCACTCAGTTAGACAAAAATTTCAATTGAATAACCATCAAAAAACTAAAAGCACATGGACAAAAAATACATCATGTAAGCACACAGGAACAGTAATCCAAAAAAAGAAAAAGTGTAGAAAAGAAGAAAACCTGTAATATCTGGGGATAGGGTACTAACAGATAAAAGGCAGATAAGGAGAATAATGAAGAAAAAAAATGGTAAAAATGCAAAAAAAAAAAAAAAGCAAAAATAAAAAAAACAAAAACAAAAACAACACCAAAGAATGAGGTTAACCATGAGGGAAAAAAGAGAGAGAGGAAAAAAAAATTTAATCAGGAACTGGGAAAAGAAAAAAAAAGTCTAAACTTGGACCTGGGAGAGGAAGAATAGTAAAAAGGACAAAATATTAGTAATAATAGTAGTTTTAAAACAGACAACTACAAGCAAACTAAGCACCAGGAAAAAGAAAAAGAGTAAAAAACAAAAATTAAAAAAAAATAAAAATCAGTGGAGGACAGGGCAGGGCATCCAGGCTCAGTCCGAGCACACAGACTGGGATGGATTTCCTGGAGGCCCATAAAGTGGGTGGGGGGAGTGGCTGCACCTCTGTTCACCAAGCAGGTGTGTGGTATGAGAGTAACAAGAGGAATGTAGCACCTTTTAGTCATGCAGGTCTGGAGAGGTCTTGGGGTTACTGGAAAGCAGAACCTCTTCTTAAGCCCCTGGAATCTGGTAGAGCTCTGTCTCTTTAGGTTGTCTCTAGATGTTGGTTACATGGTGATTTGTTTTGTCTTAGTTTTATGGTTTAATATTTTGGAAAGTTGAAGCTGGTGTGTTTTATTTTATTTTTGATTCAGGTATGTTGGGTCTCTCTGCTGTTTTCTTTGTGATGGTGGAATCACTGTGTGGAATGTGGATATGTGTTTCTGTTGTAAAGAGGGTTTAGAGTTTAAAGTGGGAAGTTTTATGGTAATTGGCTGAATATGGTTTCTTCTATTGAATGAGTGAATTTACTGGCGGAGAAGGTGGAAGCAGAAGAAGGAAAGCTTGGTGTTGCTAGGGTCAGTTTCTAGGCCTTTGCACAGGCTATTATTGATGACGTAGTTATTTACAAGACCACAGCTCAATCTCAGGAAAGATTTCTATTGTTAGGGGGTCCCACTTTACACCAAGAAGAACATGACATCAAGATTGGAGGAAGAATCATTAACAACCTGCAATACATTGACGACACAACATTGCTTGCTGAAAGTGAGGATGACTTGAAGTACTTACTGATGAATATTGCAGAATACAGTCTGCTGTATGGATTGCATCTCAATATAAAGAAAACAGAAACTCTCCCAACTAGACCTAAAAGCAGCATCACGACAAATGGAGAAAAGTTTGAAGTTGTCAAATATTTCACATTGCTTGGTTCTACAATTAATGCCAATGGAAGCAGCAGTCAGGACATCAGACAATGTATAGCACTGGGCATGGCAGCTACAAAAGACCTCTTTCAAGTGCTGAGGAGCAAAGATGTCTCATTGAGGACTACGGTGTGCCTAACACAAGCCATATTTTCAATCACCTCATATGCATTTGAGAACAGGACAATGAACAAGGAAGACCATCAAGAATTTATGGTTTTGAGATGTAGTGCTGGTGAAGAATGCTGAAAGTACTATAGACTGCTAAAACAACTAACAAATCTGTCCTGGAGAAAGTATACCACATATGCATGAAGAAAAAGAGAAAGAGTCTCTTAGTTATTTATATATAGAGGACTCTAACATGAAACTACTTCTGAGAATCTTTTGAAACAACAGCAATTGACCGAAAGTCATTAATTAGATGTAAGGAAAAAAAAATATCATTGCTTCCAAGACCCTCTTTCCACTTTATGGATTAGGAGCTAGTCCTCTCAAAATCTCTTCATGTCCCTATGATGAGAGTAATAGATGTGAACCCTCACCTAAGAAGAGACAAAATGATGAAAATTTTAAAGAAATACTGGTGGGAACATTTTTTTTTTTCTTTCAAACTACTAACTGACAAGATGGTGGCTGGAGTTCACTCAGTGGTACGTTGGAAGAAAGGCCTGGTGATCTACTTCTGAAAATTCAGTCATGGAATGTACTCTGGAACATAATTCTACTCTGACACACATTAGACTGTCATGAGTCAGAACTGACTTGAAGCCACCCTCTTTCAGACAGCATTTACTGAACTGTCAAATAAGTCTAACTATTTTCTTCTTTGAGCTGTACATTGTGTATTTTTTAGGGATATTCTGTCAAATTATATTTTGACTCAGTACACATACAGAATTATATCTTATACATAGAATAGCCTCAATAAGTGGTTTTAAAAAGATTTCCTTATTGCTCTGACTTACAGTTAGCAATGATGCCAGAACACTTACATTAAAAATTTGGAAAGTGGAAACTTTTACTTTATTGATGCAGGAAAAATGAGAGAGATGGGGTCAGAAGGTCATACTACTATACATGCTCTCTTCTATCTGTCTAAAATTTTAACACTACATACAGCTCTTTAAGAAAAAATGTCATATTCTGAGTTTATCCAAAGATCAGAATTGTAAATGACTTGCACCCTCATACAAAATTCTTATATTAGAAAATAGCAACTTAATACAGAGACCACAAAGAATATAAGAGTTAATGGAAAACACATTTGAAAGGTTACTGAACTTGATGTAAGCAACTGTGCGTGCACATCTGATCCTAGTGTTGCGAATCCAATCCAAATACTTGATTCCCTTGTAATATCTGTCCCTGCTCCGACACTTAGTGTGACTAGTTTGTCTGCTGGTTTAGGTCAGTTATGCCAGAAAAAGATCTTGAAGCCAGAATTCAAGTTCAAGTAAGGGAAACAGGACATGGAAAAGAAGAAACTAGGCATGGGTGCCATCTAAGGGAGAGACCGTCAATGCTGTGGTCTGGTCCCACTAGATCTGATTTCACTTGCAGTTCACGTTTGCCTACAAGTTGTCCCAACCAAAGGTAAGGGAGTCAGGCCTTCATATCCCTGTACATCCTCAACAACCTGTCAGTTATTGGAAAAGGGCTGCCCAGGGTAGCAGTATGGAAAAGTCAATTCCAAACCTTCTCCTGCCCTCTGACCATTCAGGCAAATCATCAGTCACCAAAAGCTAATCCAATGAAGAAGAACTTTAAGAGCTATTAGAAGCAAAAGTACATAAAATCTATACTCAGTCCCTGGGTAATGAACATCAGACTTACAGACAACACCTAAAAAAAAAAAAAAAAAAAGAACAAAACCCACTGCCGTCGAGTTGATTTTGAATCATGACAACCCTCCTTGGGTTTCCAAGGCTGTAATCTTTATGGAAGTAGATTACCTCATATTCTTCCCATGGAGCCACTCGAGGCTTTGAACCCCTCACTTTCTGGTTAGCAGCCAGATGTCTTACCCACTACACCACCAGAGCTCTTTAGACAACTCATACTCATCTTTTAATGTTGCATAATTTTGCCTTCACCTCTAAACAATTGAACTAACCCCAACTAGCAACAAATTCTTAATCACAATCACCTTTACTTACTGCTAGAGCAGCTTTTAAATTATTGAAATGAATCTGACCCTTTTGTTTCACTAAAGTGAAGCTAAGTAAGAACCATATGTATCTGTTCCAAGTCACCTACAAATTATACTTAAAGACTTAAAGAAAGATTTAGGAAGGGATTTCATTCGTAATACTGCTTGTATTTGAGATTTCTTTCTTTTCTTTTTTTTAATCATGTTATTTTTTTCTTTTTTTCATTGAGGTGGAAATATACATAACTTATTCTAACTCAACAATTTCTACATGTGCAATTAAGTGACAATTGAGCACCATCTTGAAATTGTGCAACCATTGTTATTTTTCAAAATCATTTCACCACCTTAACACAAAATCAATGTCACCTAAGCAAAAACTCTACCTTTTCCCCACCCCCATCACTGGTAACCACTAATAATCTTTGGCTTCTCTATATTTACTTATTTCATGTAAGTGAGATCACATAGTATTTGTCTCTTCGCAACTGACTTATTTTGCTCAGCATTATGTTTTCTAGGTTCCTCCATGTAGCATGCATTAAGAATTCGTTTATCTTTTTGTCTGAGTCATATTCCATTATGTGTATTTACCACATTTTATTTATTCATTCATCACTTGATAGACATTTTGGTTTGATTGTTTGGTTGATGGTTTCAACTTTTTGCAAAATGAGAAGTGCCACAGTGAACACTGCTATACAGATTTCTGTTTGTTTTCCTGCCTTTACTTCTGGGTACATATGTAGAATAGGGATTATTGGGTTATATAGTAGTAATCTATGTTCAACTTTTGAGGTGATGCCAAATTGTTTTCCACAGAGGCAGTACCATTTTACATTCCCACTAACAATGGAGAAGGGTTACAGTTTCTTCAAAACTTCCTCAAACTTATTGTTTTCCATTTTTCTGGTCAATGTCATTCTAATAACAGTGAGGTAGTACCTTATTTTGGCTTTGATTTGTATCTCTTTGAATGGTTATTGAGGTTCTTGCATAGCAGAATTTTTTTGCACTAAACTACTAACTTAAGGAAGATGGGGCAATCTACTTCTGTAGTGATACTGCCTCGGAAACCCAAGGAGCGGTTGCTATGAGTCGGGTCCAACTCAACAGCATGTAACAACAACAACAACAACTAACTTAAATATTGATGGTTCAAACTCACCCACCTACAGAGGAAGGCTTGGCCACCTGTTTCCATAAATATTGTAGCCATAAATATCTTGTAGAAGAGTTCTACTCTGGAACACATGCAATCAAAATGAGTAGTAATTAATTGGACAGAAACAGGTCTGACTTTTTAAAAATTTTATTTAACTATAAGTTTAAGTTTATTATCTAAAGGGAAGAACCATGTAGCCCCCCACCCCCAACCCTCTAACACACTACAAAGAGATAAGAAAGAGTAAGCAGGTAGTTCTTTGCCTGTAGTTCTGCTTGGGCTATTGTTTGCCCAATCCACACAATAATGAATAATGACAGTCCAAGTCTACTGACAGAAGACAAAGTAT